TATATTTTTATTTAGCGAGAAAAGCAGGAACCACCAAGTAGATCTAGACCTATTTACAGCTTGTGGCACTAGGCCATTTCGTGCAAAAGGGCATGTTATTGACCGTGACCATGAAAGTAATGATACGGAGAGGCGAGTAGGCCGTCGCACTGAAGTAGAAGGAGCAAACAACCCGAGAAAACAAATGAAGGTAGAATCTATACAAATTCTGCGTAATGCACAACCGTTTTGTTTGTTCCCGCCACTCCCTTCATTGTTTTGCATCATGTAGCAGCCAACATGCACATTGCACGTGTAGCCTAATTATATTAGAGTGTAAAAAGTTTTCATAAATTTGCAGCCGCTAAAGCGGGGGACGGAACAAAATTAGATTATGTTACATGTAGGCCTGTGCCCAGAATGCCCCCCACCCCCCCAAAAAAACAACCAAAACGTACTGTATAAATTACAACGTCGGTGAAAGGGGTGGCCTATTAATGTGCTTTTGGAATCATTTTATGGTTTAGTTGTATGTTTTTTCTAGGCAACACGGATCAGTAAACTAATTCTAATGTGGTACAAAATCTCGCCAAAGATTATTGAGTATTTTTCTTTTTCGGGCTTCCCCCGAACCCGCAACTTCACGATTACTAGTCCGGAAGCCTAACCACTATACTACCAAGGGGAACCAATGATGATACATACCGTTATGTATCATCATTGGAGGAATTTAGCTTTACTTTAAAGGCAAGAACGAGAGAAAGAGAGACACACGCAGACACACACACACACACACACACACACACACACACACACACACACACACACACACACACACACACACACACACACAACACTCACACACATAGAGATAGATAGATAGATAGATAGCAGGGGCGGCTCGAGGGTCTAAAAAGTGGGCGTGCACAATTAGGTTACAACAAGTTGAAGATAGTCAAGGGCATGTAAATTAGATGTTTTCTTCATCCTACCTGTTTTGAGAAAATCTATTTGAAGAAGAAGTCTTCCTTTCGTTCTTTGGCTGGAGCAAAAGTGTTCATTATTATGTTGACGAAGTTGGGCATGCTGTCAATGATGTCCTTGTGGATCGACATAAACGTACGTCAGTGCGATTTCTGGTATTTTGCATACTTCTCTAAATGTTGTCTCGAATTTGTAGTCCTTCAGAGTTGAATAAAGGCCCTGGATTATACATGTACGACACTGAGCAGATTTAAATATTTCATTGCAATATAATACTTATAATTCTGTTTGTAATTTGATTTTAAGCAAAACAGTAATATTTCTGTAAACGATCCTAAAAGAACTATTGGAAACGACTTTTGATACTCCTGGAATTTGGATAAATCGCAGATTGAGAGTGCATTTATTTTATCTTGCTTCAAGGAACTGTCACAATTTGAGTAACTATTATGTCACAGACCTGCTTTGCAGCAATTTCGTTGGTGTTGTTGTGTTTGCGTCTCTTGGAAGCGTGTTTCTCTGTTGTCTGTCTTGTTAATGGAACAAGTATACTGTTTCTCATTTCATCGACAGCTACTTTAAACGTGTCTAGAACTTGTTAGGCTGCTATGGGCGTTGTACTTCTGTGTTAGAGGATCCCATAAACAGCGGCGTCAACGCGCGTGTATACGTTGTTGAAAAAGTGCAAAAAGAAGAGAAATGTTTCGCTCTTTAATACATTCAGGATACCATCGTGAATGGAATTATCGTCCCAGTGCTCAGACTGAATTTCTTGAAGACAGATCTGGATCTCTCCTTTCCAAATGAAAACTGTGCTAATTAGTCGAGACTGTAAATGCCACCTTGTTTCAGACGGCCATGGAATATTCCGGTGACAAACGCATATGCATTTTGTAGAGTGGGCAAAAAATGTCGAAGAGCCTGCATAGCATTAGCGAAAAATACCTCAGTTCCCCGACAAATCACCCTTTTTATGACCGCGAAGGGCAAGTTCGTGAGTTTCACAGGTAAAATACACCAGATAACCTTACAGAATACGTGCCTGTTCTTTCTCACCAGTTCTTTATTGTGAAACGTTGCAATGCGATGACCTACGACTAGCTGCGCTGCCATGTCTACTTGTCCGAAAGTATGATAGGCCTACTTAACGGCATTTTTTACGTGCACTCTTGATGACTTTCGACTTTAATGCGTTGTTTCAATCACTTGGGGTCCTCAGTTTAAAAAAGCAGACAGGAGAAACAGTAGGCCTAATCTATGTCTACAAGGAGTATAATTTGTTGTGTAAGCCACTCCACTTTTATTCATTGTATTATTTTGATATCTTTAGTTTGGTGAGGACTTAAACTGAATTTATTTGCAATCAACTTCATTCATCCTGCATTGGAATACACACTAGAGTAATAAAACTTTCACCACTACACCATTCCAACTTCTAACACAATGACCTAATTACGCCATGTTGACCTCGCTCAAGTTCAGGGTTACAGAGGTGGGGCTAGAGATATAAATGGCAAGACAATGGACCAATCGCACATCGCTGGGAGCACTCCGGTGGATTGCTCCAAAGCTATCATAATACGGGCATTGAATTGTGTAGGCTGTCGTGAACTGGTTTGAGATTGCGTTATTTTTAGACTGCCTCCATGGGCTTTGTTCGGCTGGTGCACATCGAGATTGTGCCGCCTTATTAATATTTATGAACTAAGAAACTCGGTCAAAACGTCATAATTGTTGTTTGGGTCGTCCCATAGAGCATTTTCCGAGATAGATTACACCACTGAACATACTATTTTTTACTTGGGTGAAGCAAAAGAACTTGGTATGGTATATTAGATGTTGTAGAGCTGTTGCAGATGTTGTATGGAGCGAATAGGCTCTGGCGAGGAACGTATACGTAAGACGGATTGGATGATGGATGGTAAAGATTCTTTTGTTGTCACTTTGAGGGTGTTGTGCGCTAAAATTTTTGGGCGGCAGTGCGCGACCGTGCTCTATGGACCAGCCGCCCCTGATAGATAGATAGATAGATAGATAAATAGATAGATAGATAGATAGATAGATAGATAGATAGATAGATAGATAGAAAGAGAGAGAGAGAGACAGACAGACAGACAGACAGACAGACAGACAAACAGACAGACAGACAGAGACGGACAGACAGACAGACAGACACCCAGACATACACGCGCCCACACACACACACACACACA